AGAGAGAGGGGGAGACCCAGGGAGAGGAGAGGAGAGGAGGGGAGGAAAGAAGAAAGAGGAAGGGGGAGAGGAAGAGAAGAGGGGAGGGGAAAGGAGGGTGAAGAGAGAGAAGAGGAGAGGAGAAGGGGAGGAAGAGAGATAAGAGGGAAGAGGGGAGGGGAGGAAAAAAGAAGAGAGAGGAAGAAGAGGAAAGGAGGGGAAAGGAGGGAAGAGAGAGAGGAGAGGGGGAGGAAGGGAATAGGAGGGAAGGGGAGAGAGGAGGGGAGGGAAAGGGGGGAGAGAGAGGAGAGGAGACAAGAGGAGAGGAAAGGAAAGGGGGAGGAGGGGAGATAGGAGGGATCAGGAGAGAGAAAGGAGGAGGGAGAGAGAGGAGAGGAGAGGAGAAAGGGAGGAGGGGGAGACAGGAGAGATGAGGGGAGGGGAGGAAAGAGGAGAAGAGAAAGGAAGGGGGAGAGGGAGAGAAGACAAGGGGAGGTGAAATGAGGGGAGGAGAGGAAAGAGGAGAGGGGGAGGAGGGGAGATAAGAAGGATGAGGGGAAGGGACAGAGAAGGGGAGAAGGGGAGAAAAGAAGAGAGAGGAAGAGGGAGAGGGAGAGAAGAGGAAGGGAAAGGAAAGGAGGGGGGAGAGAGAGAAAGGAGAGGGGGAAAGAGAAAGAAAGAGAAAAAGAGGAAGAAAGAGAGGGAAAGAGAGAGAGGGAAAGAGAGGGAGGGAGGAAAGGTAGGGAGAGAGGGAGGAAGAAAGAGAGAAAGAGAGGGTGAGAGAAAAGAAGAGAGGAAGAGAAAGGAGGAGAGAGGGGGAAACGGAGAGGGAGAGAGGGAGGGAAAGAGAGAGGGAGGGAGAGAGGGAGAGAGACAGAAACATACCCAGAGAAAAACACACACACACACACACACAGACATAGAGAGCAGGCTTCTGAGTCAGAAAAGCCTGTATTCCAATCCTGCCTCTGACTCCTCCTGGCTATGTGACCCTCACTGTTCTAGGCTGCTCTCTAAATCCAGAAGATGCTGAGAGCAGGTGCTGACCCATACTGTAGAGGGAGCCTCCAGAGAGAGGGTACAGGGTGACAGTCAGAAGAAGGGAGATAGAAACTGTGATGTCACTGATTAAAGGCAACTCCCATAAGAGGAAAGGCCAATCCCATAGCAGATCTGGCCCTTAAGCCTAGAGTTGCCTAGGGGCACTCAGAGGTTAAGTGACTTGCCTAGGATCACACAGCCAATATAAATCTTCCTGGCTCTGAAGCTGGCTTTTGCCTGGCATAGGCACTCTCCAGCCTAAATCTGTCCTCTGAGTTTTAACTTCATATCTCCAAACCGCCTGCTGACACCTAAAATTCAACTGGTTGCAAAAATATACCTGCCCCATCCTCCCAGCATCCCTCCCTGCAGTTGAGGGCACCATTTAGCCTCCCAGTCCCTTCCTGCTCCCTGAAGAACCAATCAGTGGCTGAAGGTGTCTGTTTCTGCCTCCCCAATGTCTCCCCATCAGCCCAGCCCCCTTGTCAAGGCCCTCATCACCTGGCCAGCCATGGCCTCCTAACTGATCTCCTGGCTTTGCCCTTTCCTGTCTCAGATGCACCCTTCACGCAGCTGTCAAAATGGTCTTCCTAAAGCAAACATTCAACATGCTCATTGCCTCTACCAGAAAATGCACTCTTGAGGCTCACCCTTATGGCCTTCTGCCATCTGGCTCCAACCTTTGGGGTAGGGCTGCTAGACTACAGGAGCCCATCCAAATCCCCACCCTTGCCATTTCAATTCTCTGGGCCTCAGTTTCCTCATCTGTAAAATGAAAGGGTTGCACCAAGTGGTTTCTTGGTTCCAATATAGACTAGGACCAATGAGCCTCCCCTTGGGAGGGGAGCAGATATTCATCACTCCCCCTTCACATAGGGTTATGTTTTGAATAGAATGGGAGCTTTTTGAGAGCAGGGGCTCTTTCACGTGGATGTTGCCTCAGGGCCTAAGACATCCTCGGCACCAGGCACACAGAAAGCACAGATTCCAGCCAAACTGGGCTGCAGGGCCATTCCCTGCACCTTCACACAAGCTACCATCCCCCCCGCCCCCATTCAGTAGTCAACAAGTATTCATTAAGTCCCCTAGCTTGGACTGGGCTCTGCCCTGCTTCTGGCCTCCCCCAGAATCCTAACTCTCTTCAAGGCTCCGCTTAGATGCCACCTCCCTGAAAAAGCCTAGATCCTTTGCTCCTCCTTTGTGCACACACTTGTCAGATCCCCAGATCCTTTCTAATTTCTATCCAAATGTCCCTGACGGCAGAAACTGTCATTTTTCATCAGCAGCTCGAAGACAGGGCTATGTACACAGGACCACAGGTTTTGAGCTGGAAGGGGCCTGGCAGCCAAGTAAGTAAGCTTCATTTTACAGAGAAGGAAATTGAGGCCCAGAGGAGACACAGGTAGCAAGTGGCAGGTCTGGGATTGGAACCCCAGCCCTCTGCCTCCAAATCCATTAAACCACCTCCCTAGTAGGCACTCAGTAAATAAATCTTTGTTGTTTGGTCCTCAGAATCCAAATTCAGTATGTGTTACCTCACTCCAATTAACTGAAAATAAGTGAAACCCACACAGACAAGCCATAGAAGGAAGACAAGAAACCCTGTACTGCCACCTCCTCTTCCAAGAGCAGCATACACACACACACACACACACACACACACACACACACACACACACACACACACACTCCCGGGGCCAGGTAATCAGTGTCTTTTCTGAGGCAAAATCACTAGCAACCAGGGCACTCCATGATGTGCCTAGAAATCCCCACAAGCAGCTAATACCTGAGGAAATGTCTTTCTCTTTACCTCCTCACAAGCCCTCCAAGATAGTAAAAAATAAATGATAACCATCTGGGAAAAGGAAAGAGCTCTTAACCCCAAACCTACTATTAAAAGTATGGGGCAGGGGGAGATTGGTGGAGAGGAGAGGGGCAGGGCAAGAGCCCTGATTTCACTGGCATAGGGCACTCCTGGGTGAGGAAATCCCTTCCACCAATGCAGGTGGGCACTTCCTCTGCAGCCATCAGTCTTAGTCTAGAACACAGAGATCAAGGGACTTGCTTGGGGAAACACAGCCAGGATGGGCCAGAGATGGGACTTGAACTCAGGGCTTCCTAGCTCTGTGGCTGACTGTTGCCTCAGTAACAAGAAATGTTATTCCTGAAAGCTATGAAGTGCAAACCAAATGCTGAGAGAGTAATTCACAATTTGGACCCAATGGATTAATCTTCCTTTACACTTACCAAATAATTCTCCCCAGAAGCCACTGCCTTCAGCCTTTGGCTGGATGATACCATCACACACACACACACACACACACACACACACACACACACACACACACACCCCCCAAGCCACCTCCTTCAAGGAACCTCTGGCAATCCTCACCCAAAGCGACCCCGATCCCTCCCAGCTGGGCCAGTCTCTTGCCCCCCACCCCTACCCCCAGTTCCAGAGGCTCTGATCCTCGGAGTTCCCACAGCGCTTTCTTTGCATTTCTCTCCCTGCACATCCCCACTGGCATCGGCTCTTACACAGAGCCTAGTAAGGGAGAGGATTTGCAAGGCGCCAAGTCTTCTCTCCAGCTAGACAGTATATTCCCGGCCCTCCTGGAAACTGCCTGTAGCCTTCCCTACCAGCCCCTGGCCTAGACAGTGTACTTTCTTGCCCTCCCAGGGCTTGCCTCTAGCCCTCTCCCACAGCCCCCAGGCTCCCCAGGGGTGGTTAAGAAAGAAGTAGGCACTTGCGTTAAGTGCAGCTCTGAATGAATGACAAAGGGCACCTCAGGGATAGTGGCCCGGGCAGACCTTCCAAGGCCAATGGAAGAAGGTTCAGCTTCTCTGGGGAGGGGAGGGAACGGACGGGTCAGCACCTAGGCTGGGTGGGAGTCCTCAGGCTGCCCAGGCGCAAGCCAGCCAACTCACATGCATCATGGTGACCAGGTGGCAGGGGTTGAGCAGGTAGATGACGGTCTTGGTGGCGAATTTGAAGCCCACCTCCACGCCGAAGGTCAGGCACAGGGCCACGAGGAGCAGGTTCTTGAAAAGGCTCTCCTTGGCCGGCTGCGGCGGCGGGAGGCGGGGGCAGGCCCCTCGACCTCCTCCGTCCTCCTTCGGCTTCCACAGGAGATGCCATAGGGCCACTAGGATCTCCAGCACAGCCAGGGCCAGGAAGGCCCCGCTCTCCAGCAGCCGCTGCTTCCACGAGAGGAACGCGGCACAGTCGGGGCCCCCGTTGCCTTCAAAGCTGGGGTCTACGCCCCCATAGAGCCAGTCCAGGAGGCTCTGGTGGCTGTACCTGGACATGGTCTTCTTCTAGGGCAGTTCTGCTTGACCACCCAGGAGCGAACGGGACAGGCTGAAACCGAGAGGCTCAGGAGCCGGCTGGATGTCACATAGGAGGGCGACCCCTCCCCTCGAGTCACTGGGACTCCCGAGCCAAGGGGCACATGGGAGGCTTCAGGCCACGGGCCCGGGGGTTTCCGGCTGTTCCAGAGCCCCCCGAAGTCTCAGGCTCCGAGTCCCAGCCGTAGGAGCGAGCAGCGCTGCCGATCCCCGAGCAATCTGAAAGGAGAGGACAAAAAGCCAATGTGTTCGAGTCCCGGGGAGGAGGCAACTGCACTTGGAGGGAAAGCAGCAAGCAGGCAGACAGGGAGGGCGGGCTGGGGAGCCCCGGGGGAGGGAAACAGGGGGCGGGGGGCGGAGGGGCGCGAGAAGTAGGCAGAGAGGGAGCTGGAGGGGAGGGAGGGGGGAGGGAGGGAGGAGGGCCCACCCGGGGAAACCAAAGGAGGAGAGGCGGGCCGACGAGAGAGCCGGGGCGGGGCGGGGCGGGGAGCGACTGAGAAGGTGACACCAGGAAGGTAGCAGCGCGGAGGCCGGCCAGGAGGGGAGCCCAGTGGCGAGGGGGCAGGACTACGCGGCTTTTACCGACGCACCACGGGCGGCCGGCCGGGAGGGAGGGCTCCCCTGCTCTCACAGCCTCGTGGTGACCGCCAACTTCCCTGGGACTGCCCTCTCCCGGCAACCGAAAGAAGGCCCCCTGTCCTCCCGCTGCCCCGGCCCAGGTAGAGCCTTGGAGCAGCCCCCCCCCCCCGGCTCCGCCCCCCGCCGGGACAGCCGCCCTCCCCAGGGGCAGCAAGCACGGCCCCGCCCGTCGGGACCGCCCCCCTCCCCTCCTCTCCCCGCCCGCGGGGAGGGGGCCCCCGCGGGGGCGGGGCGGGGCCGCGGGGGCGGGACCAGCTGCGGGCGCGTCCCCTCCCCTGCGCCCTCCCCCAGCCTTGGCGCTGCATCCCCTCTGCAAACCTGCTGCTGCCCACTCCCCCGGCCGTGGGAGGCGGGAGCGGGGTTCCACTGCATGCGCCCCCGCTCCGGCTCTCCTCTAGGGTGCAACCCCAAGCTAGCGCCATGGAACCCAGCTCACCACCCGCCCGTAGCTCCTCCGGCTCAGATCCGGGTGCCGGCTTCCTTTCCCGCTCCACTCCTCCAACCGACCGCAGCCCCGGCTCACGGCTCCTCCTCCTCCTCCTCCTCCAACCCTCCTTCTCCTTCTCCCCCCTCCTTCTTCTTCCTCCTCCTCCTCCTCCCCTTCTTCCTCCCTCTGCTCACAATCTCACTCGCTTCCTCCTTTTTCCCCTCCCTTTCTCCCCACCCCTCCTCCACCCCCAACCCCAACCCTCCCCCTTATTCCTCTCTGCTCAGTCTTCCATCTTTCCCTTCCTTTCTCTTTCCCCTTCAGCACCCACCCGTGGTCTCTGCCCCTTTTCCACTCCCTTCCTCTTCTCTTCACTTCGCCTACACCCCAGCCCCCCTTCCTCCCGAAAAATCATCCTCCATTCCTCCAGATCCTCTTTCTCGGGTTCTCTGGCTCCTTTGCTCAGCCACCTCTTCCTCCTCTCTCTCCGTCCCCCTTTGCTCCTTTCTCCCTCCCTAGTACCTCTCCTCCTCTAACTAGGACTCCACGTGTGCAGCGCTCCCCTCCTGCAAAACCCTGCTCCACATTCTCCTCCTCCGCAGCGTGGTATGGTGGACGGAGCCCTGGCTCGAGGCAGAGGGCCCGGTTCAAATCCCACCTTCGATGCTTAGTACCTGTGTAACCTAAGGCAAGCCACTTCACTCCCAGGGCCTCAGTTTCCTCGGTAAAAATAAGGTGGGCGACGAGGGTGCTTCTGAGTCCCTGGCAGCTCCGAGTCCACGATCTTGTGATCCGTCACTAAAGTTGCCCAGAGCAATTGGTCCACTGCAATTAGACAGTCAAGAAATAGTTGGTGTCTGCATATGTAGTCCTGTGCAGCCGTGACAAAAGTCAGAACTGAAAGGGACCTCTGAGACTGGTGGGTACGACCCAACCCTAAACAAGAACTCCCCTCCCCCCTCCAAGGCACCAGCTGATTTCATCCTGTTTTGCTTGGAGACCACATATTGAGGAACACCTACCCCTCACCTCCTGAGGAAGGTTTTGGGTTTCTTTTTTTTTTCTGCTTGTTTGTTTAGGGTTTTTTGTTTTGTTTTGTTTTGTTTTGTTTTTTCCTGACCTCAAGGCTGAACACTGCCCCCTCTGCCTCTGGTTCTGCCCTCAGGGGCCAAGGCAGACAAGTTGTATTGGTAGGCACAGACCTGTCTGTGATCCAGGAGAAGCCAGCTCTCAAATCCTCCCTAAATCTGTGCTTTAGACTAAACATTACCTGTTCCCTCTCCCATCCTTCCCATGAGAACTTAGCATACAGAAAAGAACACTGGTTCCCGAGTCAGAGGATCTGTCAGTCAGGCAGAAAGCATTTATTAAATACCTACTGTGTTCCAGGCACTGTGCTAAGGAATGCAAAGAAAGAGAAAAGGCAGCCCCTGCCCTCTAGCTCAGTCTAGTAGGGGAGACAATAAACGAAGTATATAAGGGATAAATAAGAAATAATTATCAGAGGGAAAGCACTAGAATTAAGGGAGACGGATGGGGAAAGGGTTTCCTGAGAAGATGGGATTTTAGCTAGGACTTGAGGGAAGCCAGGAGGCCAGGGTGAGGGAGGAGAGCATTCCAGGCATGGGGAATGGCCAGAGAAAATGACTGAGTCAGGAGATGGAGGGTCTTGCTCCTGGAACAGCCAGGAGGCCTGTGTCACTAAGTCCAAGAGTATATGGGGGGTGGGGGGGAAGTGTAGGTTAGAGAAGACTTTGAACTGCTGGGGGTTTGTATTTGATCCAGGAGTTGATAGGGAGCCCCTGGAGTTGATTGGGGAGGGGGGGAGGCAGGGAGGGTTACCAGGTTGGACCAGTGCTTTAGAAAAATCACTTTGGTGGCTGAATGGAGGATGGACTGGAGTAGGGAGTGATGGGGAGAGACCTGAGGCAGTCAGACCTACCAGTAGGCTATTTTAGTAGTCTAGGCCTGGGGTAATAAGGGCCTGCACCAAAGTGTTGGCAGATTCAGAGGAGAAAAGAAGGTATATTGGAGAGATGAAATTGACCAGCCTTGATAAGAGAATGGGAGAGTGGTTGTGAAGGGTGACAGATAGTGAGGAGAAGGTGGTGAGCCTGAGGGACTGGGAGGATGGTGGATCTGGGTTCAGATAATGCCTCTCTCTTTACTTCTGCATCTTAGAATTACTGGCTTCCTTCAGAGATCAGCTCAAGCATCACCTTCTCTACATGTCACCTTTCCTGAGCACTCCAGCAATGAGCGCCGTTTTCCATATCCCCCATCACCACGTATTTCCTTTGTATTTTCTTTAGTATTTCAATCTATGCTCCAAGAAACCATGAATCACCTCCAGGGTTGTTGGGGGGGGGGGTTTCCCTTTAAATGAGCTATGTTTAAACATTAGAAATAATAATTTGAGGACATTACTACAAGTTTTGCCACAGTTTTGTTTAAATTGATGGGGTCTACCATTATACTACTGCTACTACTATTACTATGAAGAATCGCTAGCTAATACCTATAATGTACCAGACACTGATGCTGAGTGCTTTACAGATATTATCTTATTTGATCCTCACAGCAACCCTTTGACGTAAGCTATTATCATCCCTATTTTACAATTGAGGAAATTGAGGCAAGCAGAGATTAAAGTGATTTTTCCAGGGTCGCACAGCTAGTAAGTGTCTGAAGCCACATTTGAATTCAGGTCTTCCTGCCCTGAGCTCTATCCACTACAGTGCCACCTAGCTGCTCCTGTCCAAGATCACACAGGCAGTGTCAAAATTTGATCCCAGGTCTGGTGACTCCAAACCTGGCCTTCTTTCCACCTGTTGCCTTACATGTATATTTGTTTCCTGATAGAATGTAAACTCCCTGAGGGCAAATACTGCTTCATTTATATCTTTGTGTCCCCAATGCCTACCTAGCACTGTGCTTGGCCCATAGCAGACACTTAAATGCTTGCTGGTTGACTGATAAAATGTGATAATTTTCTATTTAAATGAAAGTTCAATGTTTTTGCCCACAAAAAGATCTCATTGACTCCTTGCTGTTATTCAGTATGTTAGCTGTCCCCCTTCATTTGTAATTGGGTCTTGTTGGGGCTTTTGCTTTTCACCCATGCCTCTGTTGTCCTGTCTCCTTTATTCAAGATCTCAAGGAGGGGTCTAGCTCTTCTTGGGTTACATGTGTATTTCTTCTTCCTGAGCCACCCGCACGGTGCACATACTTTGTAGGCTGAGCCCTGAATTCTGCCGACTGATGCACTTTGCCCTTTCCTTCCTGTGGTCTCCTCTCCCTTGGTCTCTTCCCTCAGGAACGTTATTTGCATGTATAGAGACTACCTGACACCCATCTTCCTTCCCTTCCTCACTCTCCAGCTTCCTTCTTAATATACCAGAGTTACACATAGATCTAGTGCCCCAGACAGCTTAAGTGATGGTCAGGTCACCCAGCTAGTACCTGAGGCCCAATCCAAATGGAGATTTTCCTGACTCCCAGCCCAGTACTCTCTCCACTATGCTACATAGCTGCCTCAATGTGGCCTTTTCAGGAAAGAGCCTTAGCTCACTCACTCCACAGAGGACATGTCCCTAATATATAAAACTCCACTTTTAAGAATGAGGCTATATATTAGGCTACTCACTGTCTTGGGGAAGGAGGTAGGGAGGGAAAGGGAGAAAAATTAAAAACTCAAAAGCTTATGGAAGTGATTGTTGACAAATCAAAATAAATTAATTAAAAAAAAAAAAGAATGAGGCTAAATACAGACCCCCTCCTCTGCAACTTAAGTAACTCCAAGCCGGGTCAATTGGGGATCCCCAAAGGGGGAGAAAGTATCTATAATGATTGTGCTTAATCCCATTTTTCCTAACAGCTGTAGCCTAGTATTCAGCAAATAGACTAGGTTGCAGGGATAGGACATGTGCAGCCTCGAGGCCACATGTGGCCCTCTAGGTCCTCAAGTACGGCCTTTTGACTAAATCCAAGTTTTACAGAGCAAATCCTTTTATTAAGGGGATTTGTTCTGTGCAGTTTGGGTTCAGTCAAAGGGCCGCACTTGAGGACCTAGAAGGCCACAGGTTCCCTACTCCTGAACTAGGAAATTCTGCAGCAGGAAGGGGGAGGGGACAGTGTGATAGTGATGCAAAGAGAAACCAGAATTAATGAAACCATTGAACAAGCAACACACACACACATACAAGAACTGAAGGAAATTGGGGAGGGGACACACACAGGACAATGTTTATACTAGCATTTTAAATGTAATGTGTACTCCCCCAAACCCTGTATAGACTAGAGATGCATGGTTTCATATATAATCTTTTTTTTCTGTTCTTTATATAGGGAAATGTTCACATTTGTTCATAATGAAAGTAAATGATTAAGAGGAAAACATTTTTTATTTGTTTGTTCCCTTTTTCTTTTTTTTGGCTAGGCAAAGGGGTTAAGTGACTTGCCCAGGGTCACACAGCTAGTAAGTGTTATGTATCTGAGGAAAACATGTTTTAAAAAGAAAGAAATTTCACAGGGAAATGCTACCAAAAGTGTGGAATAACATTGCATAAGAGCAATCCCCTGTGTTAGGCCACACACATGTAGAAATTGACTTCCTTATGCAAGGGTTGAATAGTTTCTTTACTTTATTGCTGT